TGAGGACTGTTACTTTTCCCTTTTTTTGTTTTGTTTAACTACAGTAAGTACCCAACTTACAAACAAATTCTGTTCTGGGAGAAGTTTTGTAAATGGGATTCATTTGTAAGTCTAACAAAGTGAGTCTTACGTACCTTTGACATAAATATACAATGTAAAGCATAAAAACAAAGAAACACACTGGTTTTCCTCTTGCTTCCAGATATCCTGGACTCTGATTGAGCATGCTACTACTGTACAATACCATAGTGTATAGTAAGCACACAGCAGCACAACTGTGACAGTGTCTGGCAGACACATGAGCTACTTCTACAACTTGTTCCCATCTACAAACATTTGTAATGAGAAGTCTGTTCCTATCTGTGAAAGTTTGTAACTCGAATGTTCCTAAGTCAGGACTTATTTTACTTGCTTTGCTTGATGTATTCATTCCACTTGATTTTTTTACTTTGTTGGTTTCATTGTCTCTGCCCAGGATATTCTTGAGTCATTTTTGCATTGCTGGCTTGATGCTCATGTATCTCTTAAGATGATTTTTGTTGTGAGGTGTTCCCATCTTTCCATCAATTATAAAAGACAGTTTTGCAGGGTATATTAGTCTTGGGTGGAAATTGTTTATTTTTAGGGCTTGAAATACTTCATTCTAAGCTCTCCTGGCTTTTCAAGTTTGTGTTGAGAATTTTGCTCTGATCCTGATGGGTTTACATTTATAAATGTTTTTTTCTCTTTTTCTTTGACAGGTGTTAAGATTCTATCTTTTGTTGGACATCTGGGATGTTGATTAGGATGTGTCACGGGGAGCTTCTTTTTTCATGGTAGTTACCTGGTACCCTGTAAGCCTCCGTTTGCTGTATGTTGAAGTCTTTCTTCAGACTTGTAAACTTTTTATCATTTCTGTAAACAGGTTTTTAAAAAATTATATGTATGCTATCTTCTAATTTCTCTTTAACTCCAATTAGCCTTCGACTAGTTTTCTTAGCATCATCTAGTACCCACTGGAGGAATTTTTCTTGTTCTCTTACCATTTTTAAGATTTCTCTGAGTAATTTGCTATGATACACCACTTTATCTTCAGTGTCAGAAACACTGTCTTTTCACTGATCATTTTTGCAACTTATGAATTCTATATAATTTTATATCTGTGGCCTTTTTATCTGATACCTTTTCATGGAGTATATATTTTTGGTAAATTTGTCATCCATGTTTTGAACTGCTTTATTCAGCTCTTATAATCTTTTACATCCTTCTTCCATATCCACATTGGTCAGTTTGTATGTCAGTACCATTATCTTTTGGGTTATGTCCTCTTTGAACTTGCAGGATTTCTTTACCTCTTTAATCAGTTCATGCAGCTCTGCTGCTTGCTGTTTGATTTCTTCTCCATCTGGTGCTGGGTGTTGAGGTCAAATGGAATGAGGAGAGTTTGTACTTAATATGAAGAGTTTTTGTTAGATTACATTTTCCAGTGCTGTGTTCACAGCTTTATCTGTCCAGATATCATATTCACCCCTTAGCTGTTCAATTTAAATGAATTGGACCTTCTCACTGTGCTGTGAGGAGAGAATTTCTACTGATTATAGCAGCATCAACAGATCCAACCATACATCACTCCTGTGTATTAAACCTTCCTTTTATAGTTTACCCTTTATCAGAACCCTTTAGGGTCTATACTACATTGTTATTAGCAGTTGGCTTGTGTTATGAAAGGAGAAGGGAAGGGAAGAGAATGCAGAAAGGAAGAAAGAGGGGAATAAGTCAGTAGGGAGAAAGGTAGGTAGGAGAAATAATAAAACCTCAGTTCATGAACGTTTCTGTTTGCAAACAATTCAGTTTGTGAACAGACGCATCTGGCAAAATTTTGCTTCCATTCCTGAACTCCACATCAGGTGACAAACATACCTGCAACCATCTTCCCCACTCTGACTCATGGTCGTGATTTCCTCTAGTTGATATTGTAGTCACAGCCAGACCTGTGCACACTTGCTGTGAAGGCTTTTTGGGTGCTTTTTAGCACATACAGTACCATACACTGTTACTCAATCCAGCAGGCTCCAAAGGAAGTGCAGAGCAAGCATGGTGATAAAAAGTACTGAGTGGTAATGAAGGTGACCAGAACGTGCAGAGCAATAACAAGTTAGGTAAGGTTAGTGTTCTCTCTCTTCATACTCTACAGTACTTAGTTCCATATTTTTGTGGTTATAAAATACATATAGTTCAGAATGGGTTGACCTTATTTGCATTGAACCTTATGGGAAATTCTGATTTGGTTGGCAGCCAGGGCAGTTTGTGACCAGCTGAAAATATCATCTAGTGTGTCAGATCTGTTGGAGGTCTTTTATGGTTGGAGTAAAGGGTTGGTGTTGAGTGATTTTAAGGAGATATTTGTGGGGGAAAGTGAGGGTAGAGGGGTAGGGAAGTGTAATTTTGGATTGAAGAAAGCTACGAGGTTGTCTGAACCTACTGATATATTTGTGATTAATTTTGTTTGAATCCTTTAAGCACAGTTCTGTTAAGAGCTGACCTTAAGATGACCATGAATAGTACCATTCAAGTTAAAGCACTGGGCTGTTCCTCATGTCTTTTATAGAAATAAGGAAGAAAAAAAAAATATATATATATATATATATATTCTAAAATGCATACATGCTTCTGGAAAATAAAAATAGCATGATGATTTTTCAACACATGATGTTACCCTTGTATGGTGGACCCTGGCAGATGTCATATATCACAGAAAATCCACTACACTGCTGGCCCTCAGAGAAAAAACTGAAAATGCACATGCAGGAATCTCAATGACCAATGTTATCCAACCAGCACTTTGTCATGCTAATAAATGTCTAGAAGCTAACTTTAAGCACCTCTTATAATTGTAGAGGCCAAAGGTAACTTGTATTAATGTCATGATATTTCTATAAATTTAGTATTAAAATATTTGTACAAGTTTTTATTTTCCTGAAGTGTGTATCCATTTTCTCTCTCTCTCTTTCTCTCTGTGTCTCTCTGCCTCTCTCTATCTCTCTCTCTGTCTGCCTCTCTCTCTCTCAGCCATTCTCATTCTTTCCTCTGCACTCAGACCCCAAACTGATTCTGTGACAAGGGTCCCCTTCCCAGGCAATGGAATCTGTTACAGTCCCCAGGCTTGGTTTAAGGGACCCCCACCAATCCATCACAATGGTGGTTCTGCTCAGGATTTCTTTTTACCTCAGACTTCTCTGGTTTTGTGGATGACGGGATAGACCTCACTCTGGACTGACTGACTATTCAGCCTCACTCCCTCCGCTCTGTATCCAGGGCTGTGCGCCATTGGTCTTTGCTGAGGGATTCAGCACTTCCCCTGGGTTTAGCCTCTCTCTACCTGGAAGAAGGGCTCTTCCCTTAGCCCTGGTGAGTACTGGAGAGGATGCTGCTGAGCTGTAGAGATCCTGGTGTTTGGGGGCTGATGGGAGAAGGGGCTGGTGGAACCACTCTGGCCCAGGAGCTGGTTCCCTCAGGATGCTGGGGTGCCCTCAAAATGCCTGCTACCTGGTGGGGGGGGTGGGAGTTTGTGGAGCAGCCAGCAGCTCTGCTCCCCCTTCTTCACCACCTCTGCTTGGTTTATCTACATGGATTGTTGCTCAGGTTAGTCTTCTGTTTCTCACTGTGCTTGTCTCTCCCATTTCAGAGTACCTGTGTTTTCTGTGACTCTTCTTTGAGTATCTCTGATCAGCCATGTTCTGCTTTTGCTTCTTAATGTATTTAACAACCCACCATTTATATAGCAAAATGCATTAATATGTCATTTTAGGAAACATCTTAGAAAATCTTCCAAGATAAGTTGTTGAGGCTCAGGTAGATAACAGAATTAGAATTCTTCATAGATTAAGCTTCAAAGAGCCACCCCAAGACAGGATTCCATTTGGGGACCTTCACTATGAACATGCTATGGTTATAAACAAATTTCAGAAGGATGACAGCAGATACCAACCAAAAATGCAAGAGAAATGTGTTGTTTCATGGACATTTCAAATTAATGTATTAATTAATCTGGAAAATGATTACTACTTACCTTGCATGAACAGATTAAGGAAAATTGCCCTTTAGGCATTTATAGCTCTTTTAAAGAGGAGTAAATTCTCTTTCTGTGGGTGTCCATTGTATAGCCCTTTTCTGAAGGGAAATGTTTAATAGCATGGAGAGTGCCAGAAAATATAAATTTTATTAGGAGGGATGTTGTTTTCAACCATAAAAACTTAGCTTCCTGAATTGATGATAAAGTACATTTGACTCATTAAAAAAAAAAAAAAAAAGATTTGGGGACGTTCTTTTCCATGAGATAGCCCTAGAACCCCAAATGGCAGTTTCAGGGAGCTGGTGAATATATCACAAAGAAGCCTTCAAGCTTTTATTTTATCCACATAAAACCCCGTTTCCCCAGATAAATAACAAATGTTCAAAAAACTCTTGTCAGTAAGTCAATACAACCAAGCCCAAAATGTGTTAAGTGCAAGAATTTCTGGTCATCAGGAAATGTGGCCCATTAAATCAGGCCAGACATTCTACGCAGTTAATAAAACTTCAGGGTAAGTAGCTGGAGCTATTCTTCTTGCAAAGTCGAGATTTTCCGTAAGACAGATTTAATCACACCTAGAGAGAAATCCCTCCAGGAGTACCTGGAGTGATTACCTGGAGTGATTACCTTGAGAAAACTGCAGCTAAACAAAAAAGCTGCCCTCTTTTGGGGAAAAGAAATGAAGAAATTGTATTCCCGTGTAGTAAACAAACCTACTGATGGAGAACAAACCAATTTACTTTAAGGACATATAGACCGAGGGAATTACAAAAATGAAGTGTGTAAAACTGTATACATTGAAAAATCTCTTTCAAAAGAGTTACAAATTTTCCTAAAATATAACCTAAACTAAGATTAACTTTTCTTGGAGTCCAGATTCTGGAATTTTTATGTAAAATTAAAAGACTATTGCAAGAAGAACTACTGTACTGCATTTTCAACATTCCAGGCCTACGAAGATCAGATTTTCCAGGAGAAGGTGAAGGAGCCCACCAGGAGCCTTGACTTCAGAGTAAGGTGTTTGGAAAACAGGATGATGATATGAAAATAGGTATCAAACCTGAGTCTGTTCTATTAATTTTACCTCCTTATGTTTTAGATAATATTCTATTACCAGTTGTGACTAGGTACGTCCTGCCGTATGATAGGTATTTTGTGTGAAAAAATCCAGGCAATATTTTGTCATCTTTAGTTGAATAAAAAAACTCTTTCTACGGTTTGGTAATAATAGTTTATTGAAATGTTTGCTCTGCATCTCTGTCAGAAGAGTGTGTATTCCCAGAAACAGGGAAAACATGTCAGCTCTTAATCTAATTTAAGCATTTTAAGACAAAGGGAGATTTCAAAACTAATTTGCTCATGACCAGCAAAGTACAGCATCAGCAAAACACTTTCTCTTTTCAAAGTGCTTTTGCATTATTAATCACTTTATTTTCACAGTGTTCCATGATCTGGTTCATTCTAATTCCCATTTCATGGGTGAGAAGGCAGCAATCTGTATTAAGTGGAGGCAGGGACAGGTGCCACAACTGGTGAGGAAGACCACGTTTTCCTCTAAGTTGTTGGGATATGCTGTTTCTATTTTTAAGTATATAAATATCTTCTTTGTGCCAAGCTGCAGTTTTAAATAATTTTACACACATAGATGTAAAAGGAAGCGCCAGCTCTTCTGTTAACCTACAGTAACAGGAAACCAGAACTTTGGAGTGAAGCCAAGCAATTCAAATCTTCATTTTGTTACCTTTCTGCTAAATAAGCCCTTCGAGTGCCATTTGCCTCATCTGGAAAATGGGGCTAACACCATCCGCTTCACTGAGTGGTAATGGGATAATAAGCAGTGCCAGCATAGTCATTGACTCTAGAAAATATAGTAGGTTGCAAATTTAACGCAGCATCCTTTATTACTTACCCTGCATGGATGACAGCTAGCCAGTATGTAGGGCATGGGTCTCACACAACACAAGGCAAAGGTAAGCTGGATACACACAATCCTCAGGAAAGTTACGCACAAGTGCACAGCAGAAAAGTGCGAGTGATGCTTTTCTTTGTCATCTCCTATGCTAACCAAAGTGCCACTGGGCAGGCAAGGAGGTGAGCAGGGGCAAAGCTAGGATCAGATAATTATGCCTATACAGTCACAGGTTGATTCTGAGAACAACTCCTTCCCTAACCACTTCCCTTTCCTTTGGATGTTGCATTTATCATAAAAACTTTTCATACTCCTTTTTACTGTTCATCTTCCTTTATTAGCAGTAGGCCCAAAATGACATAGGATATTCTTTGCCTTTCATTCTAAAGAGAACCACGCTAAGAAGCTGGAAGACATCTTTCCAAGTGCTTTCATACAGTTTCAATACTTGTTATTGTGCTTATTGTTATAGTTTGCAAGTTTAAAAACGAGTTCCTTGGCAGGCTCTTTCTATTCTCTGGAGAAGGATCCTTGGGTAAGATACAGTGAGCCACTGACCCCCAAAGACTCTTTAGGCCCCCTGCTGGAACTTTTCACTGCTGCAATCCCAGATCCAAAAATTAGGAACCGTGTCCCAATCTAATTTTCCTTACATTTTCCGCAGCAAAGAATTAGTTCTCTAGACAGGACTTAGAGAAAAGCATTAAAAACTATTTTACTGTAGTCTGAAAAAAATGTCATTGCACGACCTTGAATAAGTATTCTAACTTCTCAGCCCTGTGAAGGGGTTGATAGTAAGTGTGGCATCTTACCTACCACTCCATAGTGTGCTCTGTGTCAAAGACTGATGTGACGCAAACATCTGGACTTGGAGTTAGGAAGTCCAGGTTCCAGTCTTAGTTCTGAGAACATCTGTGTGGGATCTTGACTTCCATGTTCTCCACATCTCCAGTCAGACGCTAAGAGTCAGTGGCCAGGTAGGGATTCTTGCTTTTAAAGAGATCCTGATGAAAGCTATGCTTTCTCCCCAGAAAAATATCCACAGTCACAAGGATTGGCATAAAATGTCAGGAAGTACTCAGCCCTTTGGAGCTCCACGGCTACTGCTCCTAGGTCCTGACAGTTTATGATGCTAGGCATACTGGACCAGATGTGTCTCCTGACTCTCTGGGCCTCATTGCTGCCCTGGTTGTAGGAAACAAGGAAGAGTGGAGGAGGAGAAAGAGCAGGAGGCCAAGGTGAGGCATGATGGCTGCATTCGTCACTAAGATGTACTCTCCTACACGTAAAGTCTGGTCTCTGGGCAAAGAAAGAGCCCACTCCTGTGGCCTTGTGTGCATTTACACAGGAAATCAGCCAAAATGTCTCATTTACTTTTATGGGAGAGAGAGAGCACGCACCTGCTTTCCCTGTAGGCACTCCCTACTCAGCGGGGAGACTTGCTGTGCATACAAATTGCCCATCAGGGCCTCTTACAGCAGAGTGAAAGTGAGAGATCCCCTTATCCAGTGCATCTCTATATCCAATTAGGGCTGGACAGTAGCAGCCTTGGTAGAATGTCAACAGGAGTAGCTCAGTGCTCAAAGAATAAGGATAAGAATAATGTTGAGCTCCGCACTGGCTCTCATTAGACAATATTATACCTAGCTCATATAATCACCCTGAGAATCAAGTGACTTGATACACTGAAAGAACTTTGAGCAGAGTCTGACACCAAGATAGCACTAGTAAATATTATCTATTGGTGCCAAAACCCAATTTACCAAAAAATAAAATGAGACAAACAAGGAAACAAAAACTACTGGAACTCAGCCTGTCAGCAGGTAGGGACTACATAAGGAATCAAAATGATCTTTTAGCCAATAATTAGATCAAAAGGTCAAGAGATTATAGGATATAGTTAAGCCCTTAACTAGTTCATTTGGAACAATAAGAAATACTAATTCCAGTGTACGTACAGTTAATTTCATAAAATCTCGCACCAGTTATACATGAACTTTGCTGGTTTTCTGTTTAAATCTCAATCTCCTCTCCCTCACTCTCTCCCTCTCCCTCTGCTCTCCCTCTCCCTCTCCCTCTACCTCTACCCATCCCCCTCCCTGCCCCTTTCCCCTTCCCCTCCCCCCCTCATGGTTAAGGTAGAACCATATTTCCCTTTAACCCTATACCAAGGAGTTACAAGTTTTCAACCATGATCAGACTCGGAAGGTTTTTTGATCCCATGGTGGTTCTCTTAAACCTGTCAACACCTCTAAAAATAGTCTGTAACATTTTGTGTCATGCACAAAATTATTAAAAACATTGTATAAAATTATCTTCAGGTTGTGTATCTAAGTGTTCATGAAACACATACGCATCTCTGTTTAGACTTCACTCCCAGACTTAAAATATCTCATATCTATGCAAATATTTCAAAATCCAAAAATTTCTGGAATCCAAAACCTTTCATGTCCCAAGCATTTCCAGTAAGGGATATCTAACCTGTACATGCATGTTATGAATATTATGCTTTTATCTATCTATATAAAAAGGTAGGGCAGATTGTAGATTTTGTCAGAAATGATATCACTGCCCTAACTTATATTCTAGCATTCTTTTTAAAATGAGACAGGAAAAAGATGGAATTACCAGTAGGGCACCAAGAATTTGTCCAAAACAGCTAACAATTTGCTTCATAAATTGGCTATGTTTGTGACAATATCATTTATTTATTGAATACATATTTGTTGAATCCTGCATGTTCCCAGTGCCATTCCAACCACAGAAGACAGAGCAGTAAACCAGAACAACACGGTCTCTGCCTCTAAGGAGCTGCTGGTGTGATGGTAAAGACGATAGGGATGAAGCTGGTGAACACGGTGGGAGATAGGAAGAGGAAATTCAGATGCTGGGTGAGCATCTGACAGGGCATGCAACTCACTCTGGGGAGTCAAGGAAGCTTCTTGAAGGAAGCAAAAGTCAAGCTCAGTCTCAGAGACTGACATCCGCTAGCTGAGAAGAGAGTGTGGAGCAGGCAAGAGGAAGACAAGGAGGTGGGAGGAGCTGAAAGAGGCCGGCGTGGCTCTGAGAGACAGACTACAAGAAGAGCTGGGTGATAATGCAGGGCTTCGTAACAAAGTGAAGATGGTGGGTTTCATCTGAAGGCCAACAGGATGCTACTGAGAGGCTTTCTGAGGGGAAAGTCATGAGGTTTTAAAAAGCTATCTCTGTCTGCAGAGGAGAGGCCAGATGGGGGATGGAGGCAAGAACAGATGTGAGGAGACTTCTGCAGTCAGGTGTGTTTGGTTCAGGCAAAAAATGATGTCATTTGAGCCAAGAGATCCACAGGGAGGATGGAGATGAGTCGGAATCAGGAGGTATTGGGGAAGCTTAGAAACTATTGGGAATTTGGGGAATGTACAGGGGGAAGGAGAAGGTGAAATTTGACAACGCCCTGTTATCTGGCTCTGGTCGTTGGACAGAGAGGATGCCACCTCCTGAGATAAGGGAATTCGGGCTCAAGACAGGGCCAGGCCGTGGAAACACTGGCCACCGGGTTAGACAACCCCACTAAGTAAAGCACAGGTTAATATTACACGACTAATGAACAATATTGATATAAGACAATGGGAATGAAGCCTGGCTTCCAGGATTAATGTATGTTTAAAAACCATTGTCAGATTAAGATGCCCTGGAGTCATCATGAGCAAGAAGCCACAGGAAGGCACCCAGAGACACAGGCACCAGTGGACCCCGAGATGCTTAAGTCGAGGTGCAGAAAGGCACAGACCCTTGAATCCGAAGCGAAGGGAATTAAACTATATGCAGCACTACTCCAAAATCAAATAAATCCAATGTACCGCAGAGCTATTTTAGGACTATTGGAAAACACTTATCCAATTAGCTTACAGCCTGAAGTGAAGTTAAAGTGGTGTGCACTTATTTACCACAATACCTGGAAGATCAGGCAAGCACCACACTGTGTTTTTTCTAAGTCTGACCCAGAATTCAGGCCTCTCGCTGTGCAAATGACTGAGGGAGACAGGTGCTCAGCCTGCCTGGAGGTGTGTCCCAGATCCCACGTCACCGCCCTGTGTCCTGTTGGACATGGGAAGCTTGCAGCTCTTCTCTTACACATAGAACGAATGCAGACAGCCCCACAAAGGGCAGTGAGATCTCCTTGCTGGGGCGTGGCATCCCCGTGGTACCTCCCGTGCCATCTCCTCAGGCTGTGTCCTCTGGCCCCGAATCCCAAGGTTCCCAGCTTATTTAACTTGAAGCTAAATCATCACTGTACCACGGGATGACACCAGTGGCCCAGATGACGTGAGATGATTTTCACTGTGTGCAGCCTTATCCTGAAGGTCACTTCAAATGAGGTACTTGCTTCACTTTGCTTCTGTCCTGCGTTGGTGCTTTGCTTATGATTAGCAGGGAGGAGGTTGTGGTGAAAGGTAAAACTGCATCATTACAAGAATCAAATCTGAAATGTTAGCTACCAGCGCAAGTTAATATCAGCCTAGGGTTTTTCAAAATACTGCCATTAATAGGTTGACTTCTTACACACAGTGCTTTCCCAGCCAAGGCTAGTTATTACCAGTTTGATTTAGTGTGGCTGTTTCCTTCACTGTCCCCACCCCCAGGGGACATTTAGATCCTATGTATAATTACCTTCCGTGTTTAGTGGTATTTTTGAAGTAGCTTACCAAATAGACGGGCTTTTTAAAAGTAGAAAAGGAATATTTTGAATTTCCCTGAAATTTGTTTTGTTTCTTGCAAGAAAATAAGCCTGATTTATATTTCATAGTGAAAAATGAGCTTCTAAATGCCTGCCAAAAGTGAAGGAAGTTATTTATAACCCACTTAATGAGTGACTTAAAAATGTTAAGATAAGTCTGCGGCTGGTGGTTTGCAGTTGGTCAGAGCAGTAATACCCCACAGCAGTAGGGAGGTTTAATAACTCGAGGTCTTGGTGTGACTTTGTATTCTCTCCACTTCCACTTTCCCAGGAATGGCAGATGTGTGCCTTCATATAAGCTCTCAAAGCCAGGGGCCTCCCAGAATCCTGAGTTCCTTCTTCTTTTCCATCAACTCCCTTCCCAAATTCAATCAAGTCTCTGATTTCTGCTCATTGTCCCGCTTAAATACCTCTCCATGCTCTCTGTTCTGATCATCTGCATGCCTGCAACCTTGGTTTAAGTCATATTTATTATCTATCTACCACACACCTGCCAGGCCTTCCAGCTCATTTCCCTGCTTTGGAATATTTCACCCATTCGAGTAACCCTATACATCACAGCCAGCATGAACTTTGTAAAACACAAATCTGGTCATTTCCTTCACCTAACACCCTCCTTGCTCATCATTGTCTACAGAATGCATTCAATGTCCTGAGTGTGATGGGCAGGATTTTTAGTCTCTTGGTTCTTTTCTCTCTGTCCAGCTCTATCCTTCCTCCCCATCCTGCATTCCCCCTAAGTACCAACCATTACCAACCCCTTGAGGGCTTCTCAGTATGGATTGTGCTGGTTCACACCTTTATACCTACATTTTATTCTCTCTACAAAGGACTGTGCTCTGCCAAACTGATATTTTTCCTTTTTCTGCCAGCACCAAACTAGTAGCTACCTCTGTTTTTGCATTTGTCACACTATAATTCTGCTTCCATAGCCATCTTCCTTTGTAGACCGAGAGAAGGGCGGGGAGGTTACCCTGCCCATTGTACCTTTGCCAGTACTAGCAGCTGCTCTGAACTGTGGTATGTGTTCAGCAAATGGATGGATGCAGCATTAAAGAGAAATTGCTCAAAGTTTAAGAAATTAAGTTACATTTATTTTGCTATAATATCAGAATTTTTTCAGACACATGAAAGAATTGTAAAATGCTGCCCAATGTTGTTATTGTAGCCCCCAATCTCTTTGGCTCTGTGCTCAAAAGCCACAGACAATCTTCAATTCCCAATCTTCAAGTATTTTCTACAACTTGTGGCGAACCCAGAGAGGCAAATATGTCTCTAATATGACTAACAGAGGGATAGTAGCAGCTTCTTTATACACAAGACACGACATTGATGGGTACAAACGTCACATAGGAACGGAGCAATGCCTACTCAGAATCAAGAAGCAACTGGCAACCTTGCTTTAAACTAAAACCAGATTATTTTCTTTAAAAATTTCTATCCTTGACCCACTCTAAAAAAACAGTTCCCCCAAATTACTGAAGCCATAGACCTGACAATAATGCATCTACCTGTTAAACTAGAAATTAAGACTTTATGTCAAAACATAATAAAAAATTAAAATCCCAGCACCTTAGTAATGTTTTAATTTATTTTTTACCCTTTAAAGATATTCAACCAGATCAGCTAAAATGTGTTTCCCCATGAGAGTATTAAAAATAAACTTTAAACTCAAGAAGTCTGTGAATTCATTTCCCTTGCCAAACAAAACTGTTTTATTTGTTGACTTTGCTCACAAGTGAAAGCACACAGCCTTTGTTTAGTTTAATTAGCCAAGGATATAAATTGCTCTGAAGTGTTTGGTTTTTGTTCTTTATAAATAAGACCACCAAGAAAGAATACCAAGGATGCTGACTGTCTGCCCACATTCACTCCTTCAGCAGACACCTGCAGAAAACCCCTGCTGGGCCCTCAGGCTCCAGAAATGAGTAATTCATGGCCCTCCTCCCTGAGGTTCTCAGCTCCTCAGTCAGCCCCAAACCAGGAGACTCATCTCTCGTGGAAGGTGAGAGGCCCTGCCCTGGGATCGGTGAGGGTGAAGCAGAGGAGTAGTTCACCCACAGGTGGCTAAGCAGGAGGACCAGCATTCATTTTAAGACTTAAAGCACCAGGTACAGGCATGATAGGAATACAATTGCAGGGGAAAGTGAAGAATGAAAAGATGGAGTGTCACGCCTGGGTGGAGGATTCTAGCTCTTTTCCTGGGAGACAGGGGTCAGGTTTGAATAGAAAGATATCTGCTCAGAGCAATAAAAGAGCAGAATTCTTTCTGAGAGGAAAAGGAAAAGGAGGTGGTTAAAGATAACACTACGGAAGGTGCCCCCCTGTAAGGGGCTGTAGATGAGCCAGTCTTCAGCTTCCGGGGCAGGAAAAGGCACATGGCCACATAGTTCCAGTTTGGCGCTCTGGAGTCCCATACAGGAGAGGAGTCCAACAGAATTAAGGGGGCTGAGAAGAAATGGGTTCCAAAGGCCGCTAGCAAGTTGGGTGGGAAAGGAAGACTGCTGGGCAACCTAAGGTAGCTAGGATGTCTGCCCAGGACCATCCTGGTGTAATTGGTAGAGTTTCCACTTTCACTTGCAAAAGAATGCCTTATTGGACAATAAGTTATGTGGTTCCCCTAATGATGGCCTAGAAGAAATAATAAGAGATGGGGTGTAGTCACTGAAGAGTCAAATGAAGCAGTTAAGAGTGGAGGGGCTCCTGATAATGACCTGATGAATGGATCAATCCAGGGAGTTAGCATCTGAGAGGGCACATGCAGGAAGTTACGCTGGCCCAGGAAAGAGGGAGTTAGCTGTCTGGATGAATCATTGGCATGGCCACTGACACAAGTGTCTGGAACTTAGATGTTTGGTAAATGGTTGACAGTATGCAGGGAGCTGAACAGGGAGCAAGGCTATGAATTGGGTTGTATATTATAGACAATAAAGGGATGAAGAGGGATTCAAGATCATATAGGTGGGCACCTAAGACACAATGTAAAAATGTGTTTTTGAAAGAAGGATCAGACATCCGGGCAAGCAGTTTGTGGTTACAAGAGAACAAGAAGGCTCTATGGTGACAGCTGCAGAACTGTCCCCAGGAGAGGAGAGTGAGGCTCCCATCCACTGAAGACAATGAAAGTCCCACTGGGGCAGAGCACTGGGTTTGGTCTCAGTGCACACAAATCCTGCTGTGGTCAAAAAAGATCCACAAGCCAAAGTCTGATCTTAACAGCAAGATCCAGGAACCAGGCAGTTGCTCTTGTTTCTCTTTATTTTTCTCATATAATCCTAACCCATGCTTTGAAGGAGACTGCATAATGAAACAAAGAAGCCGTGTCTTCTTTGGATCTAAAGTGTTACTTAATCATGGTACTTTATATTATTAGTGGTAATCACTAGAAAAAGATGGATGATTATAAATAAGGCATTTCCACCTCCCACGTATATATTCAGAACAGCATTTATTTTTTCTAAATCTTTTGAGTAGAGAGATGTAGCTTGTTCCAACATGTATCTTCCCTACTGGGTAGAACCTTGAAGTGAATCTCAGTAAATACCCATCTACAAATTGTCACATACTCCTGAAAATACACAACATACTAAACATACAAAATTTTTACTCTTTAGAGTTGCAAATGTAGATGTCATCACCAGATACAAAGGAGGTGAAAGTCAAAAATACTGCAACTCAAATAGGAGAATCAGATCAAATTCAGTATTTCTGGAGAGAATGGAGAAGTTTTGAGTTCTTCTGTCCTGAAATCAGAGTCTAGGTGGAGGACGGAGGCTGGACAGCAGCCTCATACAGATTCAACAAGAAAAGGAGGGGATAGTAGAAGTCCACTGAGCCACCAGGAAAGGGTTTGGAGAACAGCTCACCACCAAAGCCCATGCCAATGAAACAGGCTCTGGATCTGTGCCAGAGGCCTATCACTTCTGAGACACAGGACCCTGGGCAGAGTAAAAAGCCTGACTCCTAATGCCCCGTTCATCCAGCACTGACTTAGTCTTTTCTCTCTTTTCCAGGGCTGATTCAGACGTGTCCATCAAGCCCAGCTTCCAAATACTCATCTCAGTAGCTGTCTCCTGTATTGTTAGTTTACTTTGAGCCAACCTTAGTCTAAATTTTAAAGAAGATAAAGGAAACATTCTAAGTCAGGTCACCAACTGTGTAGAAATAAAAGAGGCAACTTTTATTTTGGTTTGCTCCTATGAAGAATTCTTCTGTGTAAATAATCTAAACTTAATAAAAATATCATTGTCTGAGCTACAGGTACCTCTGAAAAATGGTAGCAGTGCGGCATGCATTATTTTCTTCCTCTCTGTTTCATTATTTAGACCTGCAGGCTCCTGCAGCGACAGGTACCTATATTTATCCCAGAAATCTGTCAAAAACTCTGCTGCTGCAACGTGGGTTCAGTCAACAAATACAAAGTACTCTGTGCCCTTTTAAACAGATTTTAAATTTCAGATGGAAACATCATATTGCATAGTGAAAGATGAAAGGCTTTTCAGAGTGTCACATGTTGGCACAGGGGTGACAGTCGCAGGTGGAGTTGTAAGGGAAAGTGTTATGTTTAAATTAAAGTAACCATGGGAGATGCCCCTGGGACAGGGGACATTTTTTCTCTTAGAGTCTTTGAAAAGGAGAGCTGGACAAGATTACAGGATTATTAATGCAGCCTCTTCATCTATGGAGAAGAGGAGGCAACCTGGGGGTTTGGGTTGTTCAGAGGCCCCTGGCGGAGTCCAGGGCAGAGCCCAGATCCCACACTCCTGGAGGAGAGGTCAACACTGGGCTTCTCCAGTCTTCTTTTCAATGAATGGCCCTGCATGGTGGTTGCGTGCTAGGGAGAATGAGGAACAGCTTTCCACTGGGTACAGTGTAAGCATCAGGAACACTGGCGTGTTTGCCACATATAACGCCCAAGTACTGTCATTTGGTTTGTGGGGTCCTGTCTCCCTCACTGGAGAGGTTGTGATGACAGGGTTGGCCAGATCCCTGCCCTAACACATGGAGGAAGCTCAAGCACTGTGGTTGTCTTTGGCAGGGCCTGGCCTCACCCTTTCCTGCAGCCAGAGGCAGATGCATGTCTGTGCTCCTGGATCCCAGCTGCAGACCAAGCAGGACAGCAGAGGTGGGTTCCTGTCCCCAGGCGCAGATCTATCTCTCCCGAGTCCTAGTCTAAGCACTGCCTTCACTCCAGGCATTTTGTGATAAAGTCTCACTGACTTCAAGTTAGAATCAGAATTGATTTATGTTACTTACAACCTGACTCTTCATGAAGTAAAAGAATGCAGAAGTCAGAGGGGCACTGAGCTGCTGATTCTGAAAATCCATGCTAGGGTGAAGACAGTTTTAATTATACATTCCCACCTGTGACAAAAGCAGAAAAATGCTAGTCTGCTGAGATCTGGGCATAAGCAGCTGATGCGGTTTTGAAGTCATGCCAGTATTATTTGGTGTTAAAAATAATGAAACTAGAGGCTTTTAGAAGAATAAAATTTCAATTCCAAGATAAAATTTAAGATGAGTCAGTTGGGCATGATGGCTCACACCTATAATACCAGCACACTGAGAGGCTGAGGCAGATGAGTTCAAGCCTAGCTTGGGCAACTCAGCAACTTAGTGAGACCCTTTTTCAAAACAAAATATATATACATACATACATTCATACATACATACATACATTCATACATACATGTCTGGGAATATAGCTCAGTTGGAAGTCTTTGGGTTCAATCTTCAGTAAAACCAAACTAAATTAATTAATTAAAATCAGTTAGAAAGAAGCAACATATACAGTGTACTTAACACCTGCGTAGGTTAAATTATAGGGACAACAGTAAAATCAATGTTACAGGCATTATCTAAATGGAGACACTTTTTTTAAAGTTTTCTTTACATTTATAATTTAAATTAAGTGCTTAATAGTTCCATAATATTAAACTTTTCTGTTTTGAGTACTTTTTAGAAATAACAGAGAACACAATGGTAACGTGGGGAAGAAAAATCTGTCACAGGCAGAACATCACTGTTATAAGATTATACTTTACTGTGCAAATGATTGAATCATGATGGACTCCTTTTCATGTCATCCCTAATTACAGGTTTCATTTCTCAGATCAATAAACTTTGCAAAACCCAATTTAAAACTAGAGTGTAAAAAACAAGGACAGTAAAGTCAGTGGCGTGTTTGCCACATATAACGCCCAAGTACTGTCATTTGGTTTGTGGGGTTATATGCAAATTATGATTATGCAAATTACGAAAAACTGCATCTCATATGCTAGGAAAAACGTTTTAGTTCCAAAATGCGGTAGGAGTGGAGAATGGTAACTAACACCTGCAAACATTCAATCCTATTTTTCTATGTCAACTCTTTGCCCTACGGCTGATCAATATGTAGAGGCACCAGTTCTAGAAATGAAGTTGAGCCCTTCAGTGGTAGTAACCAGGCAGATCGACAGGACAATATGTTAAAGAGCTTCAACTGGGGCAACAAATGGGATGTGTTGTGAAAGGTTTAAGAAGTCAAAATAGGAAAAAATCAGACCGAGCTAAACTGGGTTTAGGAGTATAATAAGGAGTCCTCTCAGCTTGGTTGGAAGGCAAGTCTGTCCACAAAAAGAATCATCCAGAATATCATACATTAGACCATTCACACAGGCACATAGATGCCAACATGAATTTCTCACACTTTAAAACCACTTTGAAAGACTGTATGGAAAATAAAAAATTTTACTTCAAAATTCACATTGCCTTTTGAAATCAAGCCATCTGTTGTTTATATGAAAGGTGCTAAAGTTTTTAAAGAAAAGGATGTGAACGGAACTTCAGAACCAAAGGTGACAGGAAGGGCGGTGACTCATGTGTAAATATGCAAATAAGAAAACACCCAGCATTGGGATTCTTAGAACATTGATCATTTATCACCAGAGACTGCAGATATCAGGTGCTGTGGTCCTTTTGATTTCTACTGTGTAGCCCGGGCCTTGGTCCGGCGGCCATATTATAGGTTTGTGTAGGTGATGACAGAAACACTAGCTCTTCAGTCTACTGATTTGGAAAGTATGTACTTTGAAAATGAGAGTTTTATATTCAGAAGTCAAGAGAGAAATTTTATTATGTATGTTTAAAAACACATTTCTTCTACAAAGAGTATATATTTTCTTTAGCAAATACTAGCCACACCTTCAGATATCAGCTTATACCACAATGCTAAGCAGAGAGACAGTCAGTCAACTAAAAAGATCTAGGTATATCCAGGAAGACTTTCATTTTGGCAGTGCAAATGACACAAAGCAAACAAGGCTGAAACAAAGGAACAGGTGCATCTCATCAAGGGCAACATGTTTTGAAAACTATAGTACCCTTTTTCATTGACGGATGGATAGCATTAGGGAAAACATTTTCATAGTATAATGCAAACACTAAATTTAAAATATTATTAATACTTTAATTATGAAAAATTTCAAACATACACAAAGTATAGAGAGTAGCATTATGAACCTCTAAGTATCCTCTACCAACTTTGGTCATGATAAGTTCATGGCTTAGGCATGATATAGCACTGTGGGCAGCAAGCTCAAAATGTTATGAATTAGTTTCCAAAAGAACTGTGTAGATTTATTCAATTCCATAGCTGCCACTTATATTTTTAAACATTGCTACTATTTTAAAGATATGAACATATTCTTGCTACTTGTATAATGAAAAAATCAGCTATAGCCCACTCAACTCAAGACCCTCCTATCCAAGATTCCCAAATAGTATAAGAAAAACCTTTCTAGAAATAATAAGAATCTCTAAAATTGGAAACAGCGGCCTTATAAAAATCTTTCCATGTGTTCCCACAAAAAGCGAGGCACAGGCTAGAATTCAGCAGACATTAATATGGTACAGTGGAAAGAGTGGAAGGCAGACCTGAGACTGAATCCTGGCTTTTCCCCTTGGAAGCTGTACCTCCTTTCTGGGCCTCAGTCTTGGTCAACACAGAGTTACCATTTTGATCCAATTACACAATAGAAGGAAAATGTCTAGCACATACAACAAACTTAATAGACAGCTCTTTCTTTCATCTCCCTTTGCTCCAAAAATAATTTTCACATGGCAACAGAGAAAGCACACACAAATACAAATGTATTTAACTAAATGTAGTCATGTACATATATAATTTTCCAACCACTGTCTTATCATGGGATAACATTTACTGAAACAGTAAATCATAAAAATTTTTTTGTGTGTGGGTAGAATTGTTCCTATATAATTCATATACACAAGGTGCATTTATATTGATATATTAAAGTGGGACAACACTAAGGACTATATTCCAGATATTGATAGCAATAAATATTCAATCATTTTTTTCTTTGTCACATTCTTACACAGAAAATATATTTAATAAAAGAAAAAACTTAGAGAATCCCATGGAAAGGAAATAGAAACAATCCTAAAATAGACAAAATTCTTATTACTCCCTCTCTCACTAGCTTAGTACTCAGGCACAGTGGCACAATATTTCAAAACTGTAACTTGAGCGTCACTTCACTATCTATGGACTCTCAATATAAAGTAAGACTCAAAGCAGCCTGGTGCCTGTGATCAGCATATCTCTGAGGAGTGGCTGGCTCCATCTGATTCCAATACTCACTCTGAAAAAGGGAGATTTCTAACAACTATATGAGGCATCATTATTATGCAATAGGTTAAAAAAACTCATCTTCAGAAATATCTGCCACATGACAAATATTGGTATCTGTGACATACACAGTACAAAATATTGACACATTTGAGAATCTCTCTGGATTTTATTTCTCTTCTACAATACGTAGGACTTTGGTGTCTTTATCACATGTATTTTTTCCTCTGAGTAGTGTGTTCTCTTTCCATATATATCCTACACCCATCAAAGTAAAGATGATTCTATCTTAAAAGCCTAAATATTAAAGTTATTTACTGAGGCTGTTTCAGTTAGCCTATGGTAAGTAACAAATCATTCCCAACCTTGCTGGCTTGAAACAGCAGTGTTTTATTATGGCTCATAATTCTTCAGTGTGGCTGCTGGCTTCAGCTGAGCTCACTTATATGGCTGTATTCAGCGGGAGAGTCCATGGGGTCTGACAATTCAAGGTAGCCATCCTTATGTCTAGCAGTTGCCACAAGCTGGGTGTCTCAGTTCTCTCCTAGTTCACCCCTCATCTTCCAGGAGTCTAGACTGGCTTTGTGTATGACTATAAGGGAAGTACCTGCATCCTACACAGTCTGTGGC